ATCACACTAACTCACCGACTCTGGCTGTGTGGCCCTCCAAGGCAAAAAGCTTTTTGCCAGCAGCAGCATCCCAGATCTGAACATAGCCTTTGTGAGTTCCCACGGCTACAAGGTTCCCCTAAAACAAAGTGCAAAGCATCTTCTTAATAACAAAAAACAACTAACAGGTTTCATTGACAGCAGTCTGCTCCGTGTACTCACCCTTTCAGACCATCCGACCGATGTGACAGAGTCGCCCTCTACTGACAAATCGCACAGTCTGGTCACCTGAGGACACTTAGCTAGTGAGTCACTGTTGCACAGCAACAACAAACAGAAATTTACACTCCAGTATCGGTACCTGGCTGGTGCATGCGCTCCACAGGTAAACACACGTGCCCAGCCCCACACTGAGCATATTGAGAGCCGACCAGTCCACCAGGTTGAGATAAAAGTCATCCTGCAGCTCTGGAGCATCCAGGACTTTAAAGGGAATCTTGGAGATCTTGCGAGTCGGCTTCCTTGGTGAACGCAACAACTTCTGACTGCAACAGGAAGTTCAGGTATAACGTGACTCCAAAGTGCAGGGATGATCTCAAACTTTAGAGCTCAAACAGCGCTCTTACCTTTTATTGCTGACGGGTGATAACGAGTAGGGAGAGATGTTGGTGCCGTCTTCTGATGACAAGCTTTTGGTGTTGAGCGAGTACTGAAAAGCAAACGTGCATCATCAGAGCAAACAGAGGTCTGATCAGAGCACGAACATGGTGCGCTAACAGTGCAAGATGACCGAGAGAATCTGAGACTTCCGTACAGAGAAGAGACTCCTCTTCTCGGGCGGGGACGATTGCAGACGTCTGTCCTCCGTCTGGGGATCCTGGATCTTTTCTATTCCTGCTCCCAGCAGCTCATTCTTCAGCAAAGCAGAGTAGGCCAGCCCGTCTGCTACAGCGACAGCAGTGACATTTGATTCATGTGCAGGTATAAAAGAATAACAAGGAAACAGCAAAACTTAGACAATTTCAAAACATATTCACCTTTGATATTGTCAGACGAGGCATCCTTTGTTTTTTTGTTCACAGTCGGGGACTTCTCATTTTCCTGCACATAAATCATGAAGGTTATTGATCAATTTATAACATTTACACTGTAAATTATTTCATACAACAAACCGAGCAATCATCATTCAAGGGTTCGTCTTCATTTTTACCATTTTAAACATTTGGAAAACAAACATCACAACTTTAGAAAATGTGAAACAGGAGAGTTTTCCCTCCATAACCCGAACCAGCCGACTTACACGACTATTTAATTTCCACTAATTCATGAAGTTGCTGTCAAAGCCCAGAGAGGAGCGACCTCACCAGCTGTGGACACTGAGACACTTTTCCTACTGTCGGCTATTTTCGCTGCTTAAATAAAACACAGTAGGGCTGCCACGATTAGTCGACTAGTCACGATTACGTCGACTATCAAAATCGTC